CTTATGTCGGCTCCGCACTTATGAACGGAGCTTTCTCGCCCCGGAAGTCGGGGCGAGAAACCCCCGTTCGTAAGCTGCTCTGGTGCCACTGGTCTGCTGGAGACCGTCTCCAGCAGACCAGGGGCACCGGGCGGGTTCCCCCGCTTCTGAGGCTTTGCTCTGGCAAAGCCTCAGAAGCGGGGGAACACGCCGCTGCTGCGGGTTTGCTCCCGGTGCCCCTGGTCTGCTGGAGATAGTCCCCAGCAGACCAAGGGCACCGGGAGCAGCTTTTCTCGCCCCGGAGTTCCAGGTGGCTGACCGCTGCCTGTGAGCTCCGGGGCGAGAAAGCCCCGTTCGTAAGTGTGGATCTGACATAAGTCGGATCCGCGTAAGTCAGGGACTGCCTGTACAGGTAAATGCACACACAGAGCTCACAGCATGAGATGGGGAAGTTGCATACATGTGGTCTGACAGGCACTGATTATGACCTCCAATCCCATGCTGCACCAACAGTGGAGCACACATAGGAAATGGTAATAGAATCAAAAAAATTATTCAAGTGCAATTTTAATTTAGCAATTTGAAATACAGTAATACAAGTGCAAAAATTCATGTTCTCACAATGTTAATTGACACTGTAGATTAAACAGTAATTTGTACTTACTCTCTACTTTTAAAAATTATACCATGTGAGTTAACATTAATATGTTAAATCTTAAAATGTCTGCATTTCCTGTTTAATGCAGTGTTGAGGCTGTAACGTAAACGGGGGGGAGGGGGAGTTGTTTGGAGGGTTTTGCATTTAACACCCCCCCCTTTTAAAGAACCAACTCATTGCTGTGACTGATATTCAGGAACCATTCTCAAAATCAAGTCAAGAACATCACCTGTGGACTATTACTACAAGTTGGACCTCCAAAACCCAGATTCTCTTGTCCGGCAGGACCACAGATGTTCCTGGACCAGGGAGTCCTGGCTGGGAGCACCAGTGGCAAGAGGGCTGGAGACTTGGAGCCTGGCGGCACTAGGGCTGGGATTGGGGCCAGAGTCCCGGTAGCACAGCCGGGGTTGCAAAAGCCCCAGTAGCAGGGCCAGGGCCGCAGCAGCCATGGCAGCCCCAGTAACAGAGCTGGAGCCAAGGATGCAGGAGATGCAGCAGCTCCAGGGGGGACAACTAAGGCTGTCAGAAGGGAGTTGAGGGGGGCTCAGGGGCCAGTAGCAAGGGACCTCTCCCCTGATCCAGCAAATTCCCCTCATTCGAGACCAGTCAGGTCCCAAGGGTGCCGGACCAGAGAGGTCCAACTTGTAATTGTAGCTTATTTTTTCCACAAGGCAAAAGTGCTGAAGGTCATAAAATGGATTAAAGTAAATAAGACTTGTTTAAATCTGTTCATTTAATGCACAAAACCAAAAATCGGTTATGGAGGTAAACAATGGTTGTGTGGAAGTCAACATACTAAGAAACAGGTAGCAACAGAGCCCCTTATGCAGCATTAACCGTTTTCTGTACTCCTACACTGACTGGCTACGTCTAGATTGCATCCCTTTTTCGTAAAAGGGATGCAAATTAGACATATCGCAATTGCTAATATAAAGCCTTTTCCGAAAGATCCCTTATCCCGCTTAAAATAAGGGATAAGGGATCTTTTGAAAAAGGCTTTATTTTCTGAAAGATCCGCGTCTAGACTGGCACTTTTTTCCAGCAAAGCTCCGTGCCGGAAAAAAGCGAGAGCCATTTTTATGCTAATGAAGCGGGGGAGATTTAAATCCCCGCTTAATTAGCAATTGCGATATGTCTAATTTGCATCCCTTTTACGAAAAAGGGATGCAATCTAGACATAGCCCATAAAGTTTAATAGTTTAACAACTCATGATAATATTTAGTAAAACTGTTATACTGTTCATTTAAAAGTCCTCCAAATTAGATCAAGTGTCTGAGACTAACAACTCATGTTAATATTTAGTAAAACTGTTATAATGTTCATTTAGAAGTCCTCCAAATTAGATCAAGTGTCTGAGACAAAAAATATCCTTCTCTCCCTCCCCCTCCGGAAATATCCAGATACCCAAGATGTAATTGCCCTAAAGATCAAATTTTGAAGTCTACAGGGAGTTTTTCAAAGTTCTAGACTTACATGTAAACAATTCACAAATAGAGTAACCTGCTTTACAGTTTTTCTAAGCTTTGCTTTTACTTACTATTGGCACCACCATGTGGCAAACTTGTGTATGTGTACTGCATTAACAATTAATTATCTTTCTAGGTTTAGTACCAGCAAATATCCAAAAATAAATATATTCCACACATTCTAAAACACTAAATTTTACCCCCCAAAAATGTGTTAAAACAACTGAAATAAGTTTATCTGAAAGCTCCATGTCTATAGTATTTATGGTAATCATATCTTGTTAATACAAAAAAAGAGAATAGTGAAAGCATATGAATCCTACAGAGGGAAAATAGCTACCTACAAGGTATAGTAAGAATGTTAGAACTGTGTAAAGGCAGTGAACATGAACTACAAAAGAGTTAGAATACAGCAAAAAAAAAACACAACAGACCATGAGAACAAATACAAATATTTTCTCATACATGCTGCACTTAAAGGTTTCAGAAGTTTCATAATGGTCTTCTGTTTATATTTTAAATTAAAATTCCTCTTATCCTTATGTTTATTTAAAAAATTCCCCAACCATAACCAAAATAATTTTAAGAGAATTTAACATGCTGCTGAAGTGTAAATTAACTGAATGGGAAGTATTCATAGTACTAGACATTTCTGAAACCTGGACTTAGTCACATCCCTATCTAGTTTATGAGAACCAAGCTCTCTCTATAGGAGTATCTTCTCTTATAACGCAAGTAAATTTTCCTTTAAAGCCAGAAGGCCAGATGAAATCACAATGGTCCTTTCTAGCCTTTTTAATTAATTTTATTAAGTTATAAAGGGGTGGTATAATTATAAACTCTACCAAATCTAGAACAGTAAATCATTCAATATTAGAGTAAACTAGAACCAACTGAGCTGTCAAAGTAGGGAGGTTTAAAAAATAAAGAGAATAACTTTATACTGACTGGAAATAAGAATGTTAGAACAAAATCGTAACAGTGATCCTGCCAGCTTCATTACTGATCATTCATTTTTGTGCCATTTGCAAACACTCAAACTTTGTTTCAATCCATGTCAGTGTTGAGAAGTGTTGAATAGCATAGAACCAAAAATATAAAAACAGCTGCAATTACACTGGATGTGATCTAGCAATATCTAAAATAAATCATGTTCATACTTCAAAAGCTAGCCTTTACTCACAAGGATTAGGGGGGGAAAAAATCCCTCAAGAGCAAGTTATTCCATAATTGTTCACTGTGAAGTTTCTTAATGCTCTGGAAGATATACAAGTTTAGCTATTTTCAAACAGGAAACTAAGAACATAAGAAAGGCCATACTCAATCAGACGAAAGGTCCATCTAGCCCAGCATCCTGTCTTCCAACAGTGGCCAATGCCAGATGCCCCAGAGGGAGTGAACAGAACAGGGAATCATCAAGGAATTCACCCTCTCCTGTCACCCATTTCAAGCTTCTGACAGAGGCTAGGGACACGTTTACTACCCATCCTAGCTAACAGCCAATGATGGACCTAACCTCCATGAATTTATCTAGTTCTTTCTTGAACTCTGTTAATGTCTTGGTCTTCACAACCTCCTCTGGCAAGGAGTTCCACAGGCTGACCATGTGCTGTGTGAAGAAAAGCTTCCTTTTGTTTGTTTTAAACCTGCTACCTATTAATTTCACATGGTGACCCTTTGTTCTTATGTTTATGGGAACAAGTAAATAACTTTTCCTTATTCACTTTTTCTACCCCAGTCATGACTGTATAGACCTGTCATATCCCCCGAGTCCTACTCTTTTCTAAGATGAAAAGTCCCAGTCTTTTTAATCTCTCTTCATAGGGGACCCGTTCCAAAACCCTCTCCATTCTCATTGTTATTTCTGAACCTTTTCCAATGTCACTATATCTTTTTTGAGATGAGGCAACCACACCTATATGTAGTATTCAAGATGTGGGTTTACAATGGTTTTATATAGAAGCAATAAGATGTTCTTGGTCTTATTTCTATCCCTTCTTTAATGACGCCTAACATTGTTTGCTTTTTTGACTGCCACTGCACTTTGAGTGGATGTTTTCAGAGAACTATCCACAATGACTTCAAGATCTCTCTCAAGTAATTATAGCTAAATTTAGTCCTATCATATTGTATGCATATTTGGGATTATTTTTTTCAATGTGCATTACTTTACATTTATCAACATTAAATTTCATTTGCCATTTTGTTGTCCAATCACTTAATTTGGAGAGATCTTTTTGAAGCTCTTCACAATCTGCTTTGGTCTGAACTATCTTGAGCAGTTTAGTATCATCTGTAGAGCAAATAGGAATGGTCCCAGTACGCACCATTTGAGACACCGCTACTTACCTCTCTCCATTCAGAAAACCGAATAGGAATGGTCCCAGTACGCACCGTTCGAGACACCGCTACTTACCTCTCTCCATTCAGAAAACATACAGTTTATTCCTACTCTTTGTTTCCTATCTTTTAACCAGTTATCAATCCATGAGAAGACATTCCCACTCATCCCATGACAACTTACTTTACTTACATAAGAACATAAGAATGGCCATACTGGGTCAGACCAAAGGTCTATCTAGCCCAGTAGCCCATCTGCCAACAGTGGCCAGCACCAGCTGCCCCTGAGAGGGTGGACCGAAGACAACGATCAAGCGATTTGTCTCCTGCCATCCCTCTCCAGCCTCTGAAACAGAGGCCAGGGATACCATTTCTAACCCCTGGCTAATAGCCTTTTATGGACCTAACTTCCATGGAATTATCTAGCTTCTCTTTAAACTCTGTTATAGTCCTAGCCTTCACATCCTCCTCTGGCAAGGAGTTCCACAGGTTGACTACACACTGTGTGACGAAGAACTTTCTTTTATTAGTTTTAAACCTGCAACCCATTAATTTAATTTGGTGTCCTCTAGTTCTTCTATTATGGGAACTAATAAATAACTTTTCTTTATTTGCCCTCTCCACACCACTCATGATTTGATATACCTATCATATCCCCCCTCAGTCTCCTCTTTTCTAAACTGAAAAGTCCCAGTCATTTTAACCTCTCTTCATATGGGACCCATTCCAAACCCCTAATCATTTTAGTTTGACTTAAGAGCCTTTGGTGAAGGATCTTGTCAAAGACTTCCTGGAAATCTAAGTATACTGCATCCACTGGATCTGCCTTGTATACATGTTTGTTGACCCCCTCAAAGAAGTTGAGTAGATCAGTAAGACAATATTTCCCTTTACAAAAACCAAGTTTACTTTCCCCAACAAATTATGTTCATCTCTATGTGTGTGACAATTTTATTCTTTACTATAGTTTCAACCAATTTGCCTGATACTGACATTAGACTTAGCAGTCTATAATTGCCAGGATCACCTCTAGATCCTTTTTTAAATATTGGTGTCACATTAGCGGTCTTCCAGTCATTAGTTACTGAAGCTGATTTAAAAGATAAGTTATAAAACACAGTTAACTAGAAACACTTTTCGTCTAGAAATATGTATCAAGAGAAACCTTTGGGTGCTGGAGGAAGGTTATTCTTGGTAGAAGAGCACATTTCTGAAAGCGGCTACCCACAAAAATATGTTGAAGCACAAACATACCATTTTAAGAAAGAGTTGGAACAAGCACTATTTTGCACATACTTTACCCCAACTGACTGAATTCCTAATTTAATTATCTGATTAAGAGATTAAGGCAGCAGAGAAGCAAGTTCTCTCTAATTTTTAATATTTAATTTTAAGACTTATAAAGTTATCCCTACAATAATGGACATAATGTAACTGCTTATAATTATAAATTAAGTGAATTTGTGCTACAACCACACAGTATTTTCAGAATAGTCTAAAATATGTAAATGAAGCATCCACATTCAAGCGCAAAGTAAGTAAGATGTTCTAAAAATCCAACAGTATTGTAAGTTATAGTTTAACTAGCATTATTAAGAATTAGACAATGACCTGCAACAGGCACTGGCAGTAACTGCACAATCCAGAGATTCAACCAGATTTGGACTAGGACAATGGCCCATACAAGTGTTACGAAGTAGATATCACTGGTTTTCTTCTTTCTAAGAAAAGTTCCCATCTCAGGTCTTTGTTTGACACCAGAAGTAGATGAAGAGGAAGAAAATGAAGAGGTTGAGGCTTGCTCACTTTCTGCTGTTTCTAAAAAAAGAAGCAGAAGTTATCACATTAATTTCTATGGATGAACTGAAAGAGGTTACCTAGCAGCTCACCAATATTTACCCTAGGGTCTGACAGCTAAATGAATAGCAGTGCAAAGTGTAACATTTTCCTGAGGAAATCAAAGTCTAAAATGTGTACAATATTGTTAGCTGCAAAATAAGAAGAATTTACTGTATTATCCTTATGGCAAAGATGAATAATATATTTTGTCTACTAGTTCAATACAATCCAAATGCATGCTCCTGGCTATTTTTAAATCAAAACCTACACTTCAAAGCGCACACAGTGTCCTTTGAAGTGAACACTCCCAACTTACAAATCATTTAAGTGTAGCACGCAGTGTTCTTTTCAGATATGATCACATTATAATTATAGAATATTCATGCTGTGATCTAATTGATATTACATTGCATGTCATACTTTATTATTCTTGGGAAACAATACCAAAAAGAAAACAAACTGCTTTCAAATTAGTACATAACAAATATGTCACAGTATGCCTAAGATGTCACTAAATGCTCAGCATTCATCTTCACTAGCTTACAAGTCAAAGATGAGCACATTACAATTAGATTTAGGACATGCTGACTACTTAACCAAAGTATAGTATTTCAACACCAAATCAAAATCTCAGTCTACAGAAAATTAGCATGCATTTTATTCCTATACTCCCAAAGAGACTTATAATAAACAGTGTACTAATATTCTACAAAAGCATTTGTGCAGCTCCTTTTTATTCTTTGACTTTTAGAGATAAACTAGTCATTTCCACCTAAGTGTCATCAGTAAATGTATGTACGTAAAACAGTCAAAAGCGGTTGAGAACTTAAAAATCAGCCGGTAACAGACCATGAATCTCAGAGTTAACTGAGCCTAACAACATTTTGAACAAAAAAGGGTCCTCAACAATGATTAAAAATAGTATTCATCACTATATACAGAGACAGTCTTCCGGAGACAATTCTGGGATATTGGTATTAGGGCTGCATGTTTGTCACGGTGAGGAAAATGTCCTAGATACTGTGATTTTTGGATTTGTCTGTGCAGCCATAATTTTATTAAAGTCACTCCACAGCAGTGGTTTCTGTCCCACAAGGCCAGGTCCAGCTCCCTACCTGGCTGTTTTGACCTGGTACAGTGGGTCCCAGTGGTGTTCATGAAAGATTGGCTAGACCAAACCAAAATGGCACTACAAACTTTTGCTCGAGGAGGAACAGGCAGAGTGAGGAGCCACGCCTCAGAGAACAGGAACTGCTGGAGCTGTTGCTGCAGAAGAATCATGGGGTGGGTATCTTCTTTAGCAACCTTCCTCATTTGTATCAGTATATATATTTTTTTTTTTAAATCACAAAACACTTGTGACTTTTACTAAGGTTACCTTAGCTGCTCCATGATATTTGATTAAAAAAAAAAAAAGTCATGACAAATCTGCAACCCTATTTTAATAAAGCCAGATAAGAGAAATTTGCAAGTGACTTTTCTGGTTGTAGACATCTGCAAAAGAACTAGGCAACAAATATGCATCCTATACTAGTCTGTCCATCACATGGTTCTGTCTTCAACCCTAACTCAGAGCTCAACGGAGGTGTTGGGATTAAGGATGTTAAAGCATGTTTCATCAAGTCAATTTGTAACCCCTGAAAATTTCAGGTGTTACACATTTATGGAGGAAGGCAAGTAGCTCCTGCCTGCTCCCCTTCCCTGCCTCTGATACAGGGGTGGGCAGATGGCTCCCTATGAGCACCGGCTCCTGCCTGGTAGCACCCACCCTTGTACACTTCTGTCGCTGATATAGACGCAACAGCACAGAGAGTGGAGGGTGTTGGCTCCCTGGGAATCAGTGTGCACTGGTAGCCTGCATGTAACCGGGAAAGTTAACTGATGAGCCCAGGCTCACGGTTAACTGTGTACACGGTTACATTTTCACATCCCAAGTTTTATTACAATGAGGTGTCTTGGTTTTGGTTGAGAAAAAACATAGCAGGTTTCTTGATTACTGTCAAATCTTATTTTGCACAAAACAAAGAAAGCACAAATAAAGGTCTGTATAACCAAAGTGCCTTAAACTGCAATAACAATTTTTTTTAAATTAACACTGTGGGTAAATCCAACACTTGCAGAAAGTTTGAAGCACTATTCTTTGACATGCTAATTGAAAGGATCAGTATCAAAAATTTCAAATAATCAATTTTTCCCTCAATTAATAACCATCACTTAGCACCAGTGATGGTTTTGTTGAGTAAGCACATAAGAGTCTTCATTCTGAAAACTTCTCCCAGGCACAGCTTATGCCTCTTCAGGTAACAATTTAAATTAGTAGTTCATAAAAATTGTATTTAAAAGACGCATTTAAATGTTAATACTGTTGCCTTTTGAATAACTTTTAAACTACCGCCACAGGTATAAGTGTGATAATTTGTGTATTGGAGAATGTTTTAAAGTTTGTTTCTAGTTTCCTCTTGGTTAGTTTTTTTTTTTTTTTAAACAAATTCAAATATTTTCTTACAGAGTGTTCAGTCACCTGGGGGTAGGGGTGAGTGTTTCTCACTACTTGACTCATATCCTGTGACCGATATTGCCATGGCAATTGTAGAAGCAGCAATGGAAATCATCTGACCAGGAAGTTCTGTCCCTGTAAAAACAAATACACAAAAGTAAGTAAAAGGTTGGAAAGAGGTTGATTTTTATCGTACTATTTTTATTTCCCAACATTAACTGACATTGTACTCTAGTTAAACTGAAATACCTAAATATTCATTTTAATAGTTACATGTATTATGTAGACCCAGTATGATCATCTGTCATTGAGCACTATTCAAAATTTAGTCTTACAAGGAAAGGTATGCATTTTATGCCATGGCTGTGGTCTGGGAAACTCCTAGGGAACTCTGTGCCACTGTACACATGCAGAATTCGTGTCCTCTGCAGATTTTTTTTTCTCTGTAAGAAATATATTTCACTTGCAAGGTGATTAAATTACACCTTTTGCCCACCAGGTACTGCTATGGTGCCAGAACAGAGTGCTCCTGAGTAGTAGCAGCTGCTGACAGCCACAGTGAGGGGCAAATGAGAGGAAGATGCTGCATTCCCAACAAAAAAAAATCCATATTCTCAGTTTTAAAAGTGCTGGAGTACTGACTATCAGCCAAATGTAAATTGGACCATGTACTCTGCCATCAATAATTAATCACTGCAGCCAGCAGGAGGAGATCTCAGATCCCAGAAACAAGCAAGTATTTTGATACAAACTAGTACAGACAAAATTACATACGACAAGACTTCCGTCTAGTGGAACTCATACAAGGAGAAATCTGTTTAAAGTGTAGATGTCAGTTGAGATTAATCTTACTGAAAACGGTTAAGCAGAAGAATTGTAAGCATTTATGGTTACTGATGAAAAACTTAAGGATTGGTACAAAAGTCTTGACACACAACTGCAAACTGAGGAACCGCTCCAGCCCAGGCTGAATCAGCCTCCAACCATGCAGAGCAGGTTGCTCTCCACCAATGGAGCTTCCCCTGGGAACCAGTTAATCATTACTCAGTAAGCATCACCAGGTAAGGTTCAGTTACCCATTCATATTCCTACTTCCCACCCCCATCATCATCATCGATGTAGTTAAAGTAATTGACAAACTTTAACTGTGAATTCAGTATCTTCAAGTGTGTTTAAATTTACTGTTAGCTATGAACTTCCTGGGTTTCCAATGCTTCAGCTAATTACACAAGTATTGAAATGTATCTCAATCTTAATTTCAGTTTAACAAAATTTTGTAAACATTTTTAGGTTCTTAACATTATTTTAAATATGAATGCCTACTATGATCCCCTTTGTTCCCTAGGGGACTCTGCTGAAGAGCAACAGACTAGGGATGTAAGCAACTAGTCGACTATCTAATAACTATCCAATAAGCATATGCTTAACTAGTGATTTGACTAGTCGCTTCCTCCTACTTGCTGCCTTTATCAGAGAGGCAGCAAGGAGGGGGAGAAGGAGCTGTGGGGAGCCTATTTAAAAGCCAATTTCCCCCAGGATCATCTCAGCAGGGGGGTAGGGGAGGCAGAGGCGTAACTGGGGACTGGGCGTGAGCCAGGAATTAGCTTTCCGGGCTCAAGCCTGGTTCCACAACAAACAGACATGCACAGACACCCCCCTTCAGACTTTTAAATGTATAAAAGCCTGGCGGCTCTTATCAACTCATTAACTAGTCTAGGGGTAAGCAGCCCCCAGCACACAGCCAATTTCACATGGCACGCAGGGTGGGAGCTCAGGCCCGCCCTCCCCCCCCGTGCAGCAGGGAGCCTATGCTGCAGCTGCAACTTTCTGCAGGGGGATAGGGGTAGGGAGAAGAGGCCTAAGCATGTATCCCTGGGGCTGGCCCTGCCCAATCTGGGTGTGCAGCCTCCAGGAGCTAAGGGATTAACACATACCCCTGCACTACAGGATTCTTGCTTTGAGAGGGGGTGGGGCTGGCCCTGCTTCACAGAGCAAGGACTGGGCAGCCAGCACACGTGGTGTGGCGTGCCGGAGCCTGGGCTGCTCCCCACAGGCTGTGTGCGGGGTTGCAAAGCTCCTTCCCCAGTGTCCCTTTGCACCCGCCCGGGCTGGAGTCAGCCCTAGGTAGCCCCGGGCTCTGCCTGCCCCAGCCCAGGAGCCTCAGTCTGCCTGCAAAGGCCTGGGCTGGGCAGGGAAGAGACTCTGCCCCCGCTGCTTTCCTCACCCCAGCTCTGCTGCTCTGATGAGGAGTGTGCTGGGGGCACAGGGATGTGGGGGCAGGATGGGAGGAGGCAGGGGTTTCAATGCAAGAGTTTAAGCTGCGGGGGCAGGATGGGAGGGGGCTGGGGTTGCACTTAGGGGCATGGGGTGATGCAAGGGATCAGGCTTGGGGGCTGGGGACCGCAGAGCTGAGGGGAGTGAGGTTGGAGCAGAGGGAAGATGAGAGGGGGATATAATATTACTTTACAGAAGATGCACTTTCCTTTACTCCCCACTTCTTTGCCTCTCCCGCCTCATCTAGCTATTTGGCTGCATTCTCACTCTTTAACCTTTTCTCTGTTACTCCCCCTCTCGTCCCCAAACCGTTCTTGTATCCCCACTCTACACCCTCTCCTACTGCCAAACTCCCTTCTAGACCCTGTCCTCCTCACCCCGTCCTGCATCCCCATCCCACTCACTGGCAGCCCTGTCCCACACACTGAACACCTCATTTTTGTTCCCACCCCAGAGCATAAGGGAGTGGATTTTGTGGACCATCTCCAGAACCCCAGGAAAGTAAATCTGGCCTATGGGAAGCATTGAAGCTCAGTACTCCCTGACCCTTCCCCTTCCCCTCACCCCGTGGGGGCTGGTGCACAGAGGAGTGAGGTGTCTCAATTGAGAAGGGTTTGGAGGTGGGAGGATTTGGAAGAGTTTTTTTACTTCTTACTTGTGTGGCCCCCAACTGATTTTTCTGTGGGTCAGTGACACCCAATCCAAAAAAGGTTCCCCACATCTGCTATAAAAAAAACATTGATATCTTTTGTGCTGGACATAATATTTTACTTTACTGTATTTTAAATGAAGTTTGATCAACTAACATGAGAAAGTTAAATGCTTAATTGTTTAATAATTTATATTTAACTCTCCTCCCCAGCTGCAGCACTAGCAAAATGGCTGAGGCATAATTATGCAAGTACTCTTAGTTTCTCTATAATTAAGAACACACATATATAAGCCATATATTAAAATGAACTCATAACAATTTCAAGTCCTCCATTTTTTGTAAGTTTACCTTAGTTGACGGTAGAAGAAAAGGGACTTATTTCTTACCAGAAGATTCCTTTCCATTCTGTTGCTCATGCACCATGCCCACAGTCATCAGAAAAACTATAACCAGAAACACTGGAATCCTCCAGGAACCAGCCACAGAAGCTGAAAATAATAAGGCTTTTCAGAATTTACTGAATTTAACATTCAACAAAAATGTTACTGTAATCCAGACATACTGAAAAAGGTAGTCACAATCAGAACCTAGCAATTATAGATCGATATCAGTATCTAATGCCACAGAAGCATGTGAAATTTTTCTATATCTAAGAAAAAACATAGTTACGCTATTAGAAAGGCAGAAACAGAACACCTTTTTTAACTGAGGTTATATTAAACATAGAATCATAGAACACTAGAACTGGAAGGGACCTCAAGGGGTCATCGAGTCCAGTCACCTGCCCTAATGGCAGGACCAAGCACCGTCTAGATCATCCCTGATAGATGTCTATCCAACCTGCTCTTAAATATCTCCAGAGATGGAGATTTCACAACCTCCCTAGGCAATTTATTCCAGTGTTTAACTACACTGACAGCTAGAAAGTTTTTCCTAATGTCTAATCTAAACCTCCCTTGCTGTAGTTTAAGCCCATTGCTTCTTGTCCTATCCTCAGAGGCCAAGGAGAACAATTTTTCTCTCTCCTCCTTGTGACACCCTTTTAGATACAGTAATTCCTCATTTAACACGGTAGATACGTTTCAGAAAATATTTGTGCTAAGTGAAAGCGTGTTATGCAGGGACAATTTTCCCATTGAAAATAATGGAAAAGGTGGGGGTTGTGTTTCAAGCCCACGTGCGCTCGCAGCTCCAGCCTGCACTTGTTAGCAGCTGGGACTGAGACATAAGGTTGGGAGAGAAAGGAGACTGGGTTATAGCAGGGAGGGGAGGTGTTTGGCTCTGGAGAAGAGGAGGACAGGGAACGGGGCTTACAGCTGGGTTTCCCCAGCCAGCCAGGCGCCGGCAGCTGCATGGGACTTCCCCTGCCTCCCTACAAAGTGGCAGAGGTTCGCTGCTCGCCACGCCGTTCCCCGGTGACCCCCGCTCACCGGATGCAAGGCATCCAGCCAGAGGGGGTCGCCGGGGAACAGCATGGCGAGCGGAGAACCTCTGCCGCTTTGTAAGGAGGCAGATGAAGCACCACGCAGCTGCGGTTAACCGGCGCGTTGGGGAAACAGCCACCCGCTGCAAGCGGGGGGCATAGGAGAGGGAGCGAGGCATCCGGCCAGAGGGCCCCAGAGGGGGTCACTGGGGAATAGCGCGGTGAGCGGAAAACCTCCGGAGGCAGGGGGAAGCCACGTGCAGCTGCTGGCAAGTGGCCAGCTGGGGAAACCCAGCCGCTGGCTGCAAGAGGGGGGCAGAGGAGAGGGAGCGAAGCATCCGGCCAGAGGGGGTCGCCGGGGAATGGCGCAGTGAGTGGCGAACCTTTGCCGCTTGGCAGGGAGGCAGGGGAAGCCCCGCACAGCTGCCAGCAACCAGCTGGCCAGTAGGGGAAATCGTGTTATTGTGGGGATGAGTCGTGTTGTTCGAACAATGTTCCCTTAAAAAAAAAAAAACATGCTATCATGAAAACATGTTAAGCGGGCACGTGTTAAGTGAGGAATTACTGTACTTGAAAACCGCTATCATGTGCCCTCTCCGTCTTCTCGTTTCCAAACTGAACAAGCCCAGTTCTTTCAGTCTTCCTTCATAGGTCATGTTCTCTAGACCTTTAATCATTCTTGTTGCTCTTCTCTGGACCTTCTCCAATTTCTGCACATTTTTCTTGAAATGTGATGCCCAGAACTGAACACAATACTCCAACTGAGGCCTAATCAGCACAGAGTAGACCGAAGAATGACTCCTCATGTCTTGCTCACAACACTCCTGCTAATGCATCCCAGAATCATGTTTGAAAACATCCTTGAGAACAGCAATATATTCACAATAGCTATAGAAGGAAGAGTTTATTTTCACCTTATCTAAAAAATGGCTGGTAGAATTATTTCATCTTTGTTACTGAGATTCTCTAAAAAACAGAAGTAAAAAGTTAGATGAATGGCCAAATTCTCTCCTGTGGTCAAGCGTGGGAGGGGAGGAGGAGGGGAGTCAAGGAGCTGGTTTCTGATCCTTGATCCTGAGGGCCAACCAGCACTTGTCCCCAGCCAGCATTAGAGGAGCTGCTCTAACTCACACAAGGGATAAGAGGCAGGAAATGTGACAGAGTTTCTCCATGACTCCTCTCTGTTCACCACTGCAGGGGAATGGCAGCACAAAAGTTGCCTCCTACATGCTTTAGAATAGCAACAAGTTCTCCTGCACCAAGAGAAATTCTCTGCTGACCATTTACAATAAGAATCTGGATACTCTGAGCCATCTGAAGTAGGAAAAAGAGCTGGATCTCAGTTGAGAATTTGGCTCAGTGATGTTTTGTTAGGCTTCAGAATTATACTTTATACATAAATACTATGATGTGTTACCCACCTAAGTGGAAGAGCAGTATTATCCAGACAGGTATAGAAATTGCTCTTAAGTAACGTTCAGTGCTTGCATTCCACTTGAATGAAATGGTCAACAGATATCCCACAACCAAAGTCCATATCTTTAAAAGAAGAAAATACTTATGGGCATACTTATGCTATACACATACTTATGTTATACACATACGCAAGGATACATTTACTTATTTTGTATGGTTTTTATCTGAACTCCTGTATCTTCATGAATGGTCTTTTGTGTTAAGGTACTCTTGGAAAAATATGCATAAAATCTTTATTTTAGAATATTTGCAACCATTACATTTTGTTTCTATACCAACAAATATTAATTTGTCCATTATATACATAGTTCAAGCTCTTCTAGAGTTTAGCAATACATTCAGTTCTATTCTTCAAAGTTGTTTTACTCTGAAAGGCGAACTCTATAGCTTTAAATAACTATTCCTATCATTGTTAATAGTCTCTATTCCCTTTGTCAAAGTAATCCGAAATAGTTATCACCTGTGTAGCAAAACAAAACAAAAAAATGTGCTCTTCTGTTAACAATAGTAAAATCAACTTTAACATTGGGGCACAAGTAAAGAATCAGTATCCCATCCATTTCTGCTTTATGCACACAATGATGTATTTTTCCAACCAAAAAGCAAGTGGTGAAAATTACCAGGGCCAATAAAAGTTATATTTTATTACTGAATTAAACTTAAATGTGAGCCTTTAATAGAGAATGGCTCATGAACTAATGCAGTATACCACTTTGTTATCCATTTAAAATGCAACAGGAATGTACTGAGCAAATATGAGGGTTTTTTTATAAACTCTTTCAGTCCTATTGTACTAACAGGTTGTAGCAGATCAGAACTATCACACGGGATTCTTTTTGTCTGCTTAAAATCTGCCTCTTGCAACTCTACTCAAATAACTGGAACAGAAAAATAACTATCAAGCTTTTAAGATCTACTACTTTACCTTAAATAATATTGGACAGGAGGAAAGAGTAAAATATGAGAGGGAGCAAAAGAAGGAAATTACAAGCAACCTGAACCAGAAAAAGGCAGAAATTTGAACAGAAGGAAAAGAGTCAGAGGAAAAACACTTTTTAAAAATGAAATTTATATTTTAAGAGATATTTGATCTCCAGCCCAGATTCTGGAAGGTAATCCTATTCATGAAAGCATTTAAGCATTTAATGGGGATGGAGACCAAGTCTGACTTGCACTCATCCCACAACTATGTATCCTGACCCATGGGGCTACAGCCATCTTCTGGTTCTGCGTATTGTGGCCTGGTGCCCAATATCAGAGCCACTCAAGTTTAGCAATATCAAGTTGTCCTGAATAGGGAGCCCGGCCCAACCTTGCAAAATAGGAAATATGGCTGCAAGGTGGATGGGCTCATTCTCTGACACCCCTACCACCATATATGGCAAATTAAGATTGTGGTACTGGGTGGACGGTGCCGGTACAAGTGGTCAGTGGGTCACACAGAAAAGATCCCCATAGCTGGGCACCATTCTAACAAGTTTGGGAGCTACTGATCTAACTTTGAACAAAAACAGTGTTCAGGAAGGAGGGTGATTTTTTTCAAGTATGGTTGTTGAAAACCTGGCTTTACTAAAGTTAATAGCAAGACTCCTACTAACTTCTGAGGGAACAGGATTTAAAAATATATTTCTTTATCAATGTTAAATCATCAGATTATTAAAAACTAGAAACTACTTGACTATTCATTATTTTTGTGGGTTTATTTTATTCAGTTTTTGACAAATGAAAAAGATTACAAAAATTGAATGACTAGTCAGTCTATAGTCGGTTTCACTTTTACATTCTTATGCATTAATACTGTAATTCCTAGGAATTTAAGTCCAACATGCATTTTAATTAGAAAAGCCATCATAGAAATTTAACTTTGAACAAACACTGCACACACTTAAAATGTAGACAAACTTCGTAACAGTGAAGAGTGAAACCGATTATTCATATTAAATATTACTCATCATCACAGGTAGCCCCAATACAGTTCAGTGGAGTGGCTTGAGAAGGAAGCCACTGCTTATCATGAGAAAAGGTATCAATCTAACCCTTGACTTTAACAAGGTATCAAATTTGACTAGTACAGTCTCTAGTCAATTTTGTTTTTCAGTTTGTAAAACTGTTGAGAGATCTTTAGATTGTAATGTTCTTTTTTTAATTCTACTTTGTTAATAAGAATGTAATCTTTTAATGAGATATTAGAGCCTTATTGTAAACATTTCTTGCTCGTTTTATCAGTAGTCAATTATTAGCAGGGTATTAACAAACACTCTGATACCAAAGTTTAACCAAATATGCTTCACTGCTCAAGTATTATATATAGCTCTCAAATCACAACACTTCAAACAAAACAACAATTATCTAAATATTTAGCATAATTCAGTCCTTGTTTTCAAAAGTTTAATGGTTATAGTAAACTGTTCATTAAATGAATGCATTTCATATCTGTGTACAAACGTATTAAGATTCCTGTTATAACAAGTGCCAGCAATCTTATTTCAAAACCAAATAATGCTATACCATTCCAAAAAGCCACAGAAACCAACTGTCAGTTGACTCCAGAGATGTGAAGGATTCAATTCATGTGACATTATGGATTAAGTGAATTAATGCTATGTTAGATAATGGTGTTTGCTAATGAGTACAGGTTGGACCTCCCTCCTCCAGCACCCTCGGGACCTGATCCACCCCAAACGTGAGATTTCTCCCAATCGGGGTGGTCCCTTGCTATGGGACTCCCAGCCTGCTCCCCAACTGCAGCCACTGGCCCTGCTGGGGCTCCGCAGCCACTGCCAACCCCTCTACTCCCAGAATCCTCAGACCGGGGGCTCCCCAATGGCTGCAGTCTCATTGGTCTAGCAACATCCGTGGTCCTACTGGACCACAGATGTTACCAGACCAGAGAATCCCAGATTTGAGAGGCTGAACCTGTAGTACATTATTTCTAACAACTGAAATTTACACCATATTTACAACTTGGTTCTTTTCCTGAGCAACTTAAGCTGGTCAAAAATGAAATGGGGCTTTCATGGACCTTCAGATTCCTCACTGAATTGATCAGGGTCCTACCCCCTAGTTTACAATGGAATTTTATAAAGTTTACAATTTTATAATGGAAGCTAGTGTGCAAGAAAGTTCAAAGGAGTTCCTAAAACGTATTTTGTTTCAAAAGTAAAATAATTCCATTCAAACTTGGGGAGTATGTGAAGCATTTATCAAAATTTCAGCTTTAAAATTCAAGATTAGTTTAAGTGCCTAATAATTTCCATGGTTGTAAAATTTAATTATACATGAAGACCCTAAATATAATGTAGTCCAGTGGTTCCCAATCTTTTTGATACCAGAGACTGGAAAACCCATTCACAAACTTTTGGCGGACCGGTAACATTTTATTTGAATTTTTGCATATTCATTATAGAGCTGTTAAATATGAGTTAACTGAATAGTTGATTAACCTCATGAATTCTTATTGGTTAGTCGACTATTTTGTAGTCCCATGGGGGTAGGGGTCTGGGCTCCCAGACCAGGCACAATCTGGAATGAGCCAGGCTGCCTACTTGCCTGGCTCCTAATACACTTTAAATGCAAAGCCGCTACGGGGGTAGGTCCAGGACCCAGTGCAAGCTGGGACTGAGCTGGGCTGCTGGCCAGCCTGCTAAAAAAGTTACTGGCAAGGTGGGGGGAGGGGTTGGGAAGGGGGGAATGCATGTAGTCTATAGCTTAATCGACATTCCTAATTAATTACGCAAATGATGAATATTTAAATATGCTAATAAAGCATTACTCGATCACCAAAAGCCCAGCCCCCAGAGCCAGCCCTAAACCCTATAGACCTCTGCTACCCACCCCAGTGCCAGACACTGACCCCAGAGTCCCCTGCACTTAATCCCCCAGTGCCAGCCTCCCACCCTCAGAGCTCCCTGGTGCCAGCCTCCATCCCAAACGCCTCAATGCCAGCCCCCTACCCTTTGGAGCCCCCCACCACCAGATCCCCCCTATACCAGCCTCCTGTTTCCAGAGCCCCACGGCACCCAACTCCCCCAGAGCCAGCCCCCACTATCAGCCCCTTCCCCAGAGCCCCCCCAGTGCCAACCCTGCCCCGCAACCCTCCCCCCCACTACTAGCTCAGCCTCCAGAGCCCCCCAGCACTACCCACGCCTCTGGAGCCACTAGCGCCTGCCTGGTCCCACTCACCTAGCGCTGCGCTGCTGTTCACGTCTGGGGTACACCGCTCAGCACCTCCCCTCCTGCTGCAGCTGTTGGGAGAAGTGTGCCCTGCCCCACACCAACCAGCACCAGGCAGCAGGGGGGTCTCCCTCTGCAGCAGAAGAGTGTTTCCCTGCCAGGCAGAAGGGCGGGGCAGCATAGGGTCTCCTCCCAGCTGGGGAAGAGCACTTCCCACGTGGCCCTTCCACCATGCAGAGTGGCTCCACGCAATCCTCCTGCCGCATAGGGAGCTGCTCTTCCATGGCTGAGAGGATACCCCTCCCCTTCCCAGTGCAGACTGGCTGAAAGGCAGGGCAGGACACACCTCTCCTAACAGTTGTGGTGAACCCTAGCACCCAGAGACACTATGGCCCAGCAGCCAGAGGTCCGGGGCCCAGCAGCAGGCCACAGCACAGTGATTGGGAACCACTAATTAGGCAAATCAAAACTAATTTTCTACTAGGACTCGATGCTTAAAAACACTGAATTTAGAGACACTGTCTCAAAATTTCTACTTTCTATCACGTTTCCTGAGATGCTTCAGTTGTTGAAAACAAGTCTTTAACTAAAGCAAAAAGTATGTGGACTCCTTTTCATTCAGGAATCAACTGTTTTTTTGCTCAAACAATTTTCCCATGAACAGAAGCCAAACCTAGAAAATTGCAGAAAAAGCATCTTAAAATGTCTGATCTTCCCCCTCTCCTCCACTAATACTTGTAATTATGCTTGCTAAAATCTTTTCACGGGTGCTACTTCAAGGCATAAAAACTTAAGCCTTAATAAGCCTGTGATTAGGAAGAATATTTATCTATATGACACCACATAATTGGGTAAGTTTGAATTTAGAAAGGCAGGGAGAGAATATAAAT